AAGGGAAGGGAAGGGAAGGGAAGGGAAGGGAAGGGAAGGGAAGGGAAGGGGAAACAGAAGACCATGGAGAAAGGGTGGGGGAACAGACAGAAAACCAACCCAGAACTAACAAGGGCAGACACAAGAACTTGCTTCCAGCAGCACTGTCCCACAAGTGCAGCTCCCCACACCGAACTGCAGCTGGAGCAGGAGCAGGGCTGGGAAGATGCTGCTGTGGAGCAGCTGTGGGAGCAGAGCACAGAGGTGAGAGAGCAGCAAGGGCAGGCTGGCTGTGCTGCTTTCCAGGCCACTGGAGCCTTGACAAACAGTGCAGCCCTTTCCTCCAGCAGGGAGGAATCTGTGCAGGGAAACCAGTGCCCAAGTTAAAGATTACACAATTGCTTTTAGTTAGTGAGGCTCAAAGTGCATTAAACCTTACCCATATCAGGTGTTTTACCACCAATTCTGAGTTTGTGGTACTTGGGATGAGCAGGGGCTGCTCATTCCTAAGGGACTGTGTCAGAATTTCTCAGATTACCTGGTTACTTCAGAAGTTTCCTCATCATGTTTAGGGTAGAGCCCCTGTACCCTGTCCCAAAATGGTTCCAGTGGTTGATGTAATTAAAGAGCTGATACAACTTGTTCCGTTTCTCAAACCCTGGAGCTTTGGGTATTTTACTGTGATAGGCAGAGAAAAAAGAGCTGCTGAAACCCCCAAACATGCCAGCAATGGCCAGCTCAAACTCTGAGTGGCCATAGAAGCAGGCAGGGTCAAATATGATCGGCCCAGAGTCGTCCTCAGCCACATTCCCTGCCCACAGGTCCCCGTGCAGGAGAGCAGGAACAATTTCCACATCACAGAACATTTCAGGAATCTTTGGCTGAAAAAGCATAAACAGACATTAGCAATTAAGAGTTTTGAAAAAAAGAATAAATAAAATTAAGTACTGCAGCATGTTAGAGCCTGAGGTGGCCAAATGCTGCCTGTGTTCAGCCCTCATGGACACTGATGTCAACAAGAACAAACCAGTGATAAATGTTCTGCATTGTTCTTGACAGAGCTCAGCAAAGCATTTAATTCACAGTGTGGTATCAGCACCTGGTACTGATGTATTGTTTCTAGACAAGGATACTGTTGGCTGTCATGAGAAATAAAAAATAAATTCATTTAAACTAAAAAGTTTCAATGGCAAAAAGGACTGCAGTAAGCATCTGGACCAATGGACAGAAGAGAGGGAGAACATCCCTGGTGCTCCCTGAGTGCTGCATGGAACATGGCCTGAACCAGCCTCAGCCTGGGCCAGGTAAAATAAAAATCTGTCCAGGCAGCACAAGTTTGTCCACTTCATAACACCAAGTTCTTAGGATTTACCATATACTTATTATTACTAGCTGTATTCTCAGAAATAAATGTTAATGCTGAATTACAGGGGTTTTTTCCACTATCTACAAAATTGAAAGAGTAACAGGAACTCCATTCAGCTGACAGTGCTGCTGGACCCTCTGTGAAGCTCATCCAGACCCTGCTCTTCATTCCAAGCTGGGTAAATCCTTTAAAAAACACCTTTACAATCCCACTGATACACATTTTCTGAAATTCTAGGAAACAGATTTAAAACGTGGTTCATACTTTCAGCTGTGACCAGAGCTCTCTGGCTTCTCTGTCTCCATAATCCTTTTCAATCAAATCCAGCTGAGCCTGGAGCCGGTGGCGGATGAAGAAGGATGGCCAGTCACTCTGCCACTCATTCACCTGCAAACACAGCACAGCTTGGTCACACACAGTTATTTTAACACACATTATTTTAGCACACATTCATTCAGTGTCAATAAGAGAGATCCAGTTAAAGCATTCAGAGCTGACACAATGGCCTGGACAATGTCAGTGTGACCAATGCACAGCAACATCAGATGTTTTGTTTTGGGATTGCTGCTCCCCACCACACTTTGGTGGGGCTCTCTTTAATGTAACTTGAGATTCTGGCTGTTTTCATTCATTCTCATTTTTTAAATGTATTTTAGAGGGAGAGTTTCAGGTGAGATCATTTCAGTTGTTCAATATCCTGTTTCAAATCTTTCTGGAAATGTAGAAGTATTCATTTATTTTTACTGGGTAATACATTTTAATTTGATGAAAAGCTGTACTTAGCAAAGAGTTTGAGATACTGAAGGCTCATTCAGTTGTTGTAGAATGAAATCCTGAGAGGTGCAGAGCCAGAAAATGGAGGAATTATTTCCAAGAGCCTTTTTCTCTCCAAGAGCCTTTTCCAATGTCTCAGGAGCTGTTACATGATGAGGCTCTCCAAGATCCATGTAGTAGGGGTTAATAAAACCAAGATATGTATATGAAGGAAATTTTTTTAAATATCACCCAGCTAAAGAACCACAGCTTCATTCCAAATCCTCACTCAACCCACCGTGCCTGCTGGCCACAGACAGCACCAGGGAACAGGGATGGAACAGGGAAAGCAAACTTTGGTCAGAAAGCTGCAGACAAAAGGAGTTTCCAGACCTCTCCAAGTGCCTTTCCCAGCTGTGGAACAGACCATACCTGTGGGATGTAACCACAGCAAGTGGCTGTGTGGAATCCAAACTTATCCACAAACTGGGCCTCAGAGTGACCAGCTCCTTTTCCTACAGAACAAAAGAAATATTAAGGGGTTTGAGATATTTACATGGTAAAGTTTGCAAACACAGAACTTAAGGCAGGAAAAATAACTTTAAGCAATGAATTACATTTATTTCATGGTCACTACCCTTTCTAAAGCTGGAAAGAAATCTTTTGGACTTGAAGATGCTGGAAATGGAGACATAGTGAGTCACAGACAGTGAGTTTGCTTTGGATGAAGGAGTTGGACATTCAGGAAAGGAGCCCAAATACAGAATCACAATCTGCTCTTCTGGCCCTTGGACATGTTGCCATTAAATGTAGCTTGGGTTTGATTCACAGATTATTTGGGGCCTGCCAGTAGTTTGACCTTCACTCCAAAATAATGGATTATGATTTGTCCACCACTAAGAGTCAGACCCAGTCAACTCTGAAGTCATGGGAACAACACAGATACAGACTGGCACTTCAGATTTTAATAATACCAACTGAAAATAATTCTTTATATAACTGATTTTTCTTTTCATTCATGCTTTAATTCACTTTGAGGAGCAGCAATTTTTGAATATTTTGCTACGTATTTGAGTTCAAAAATGTCATCCCCAGCATCTTTAAAGGGGAACTTAATTCTGCATTTCCCAAAGGACAATAATCTGTAGTCAGTTAATTATCTAAACAAACAGCAAGCAAAGAAAGGGATTTCTGTAAGCTCAAGAACATTTTAAGAGAGTGCATGACCGTGAAGAAGAGTCCAAATTGCCAGTTTGACTTGGGAAAGTTGAAAGCAATGCTGCACCACAGCCAAAGGAATTGGTTCCTTTTTGGTTTAGGACATTACATGAATGCTTTACCAATTGTGCTCCCCTCAGCCTTCAGCTTCTCTCCAAGTTTCTGGTTATGAAGATGAAGCTCTGCTATCTGCTCTCCCAGCTTTGAAGAGTATCTGTAGGTTGAAATAAACCAAAATGAAGCTGAAACAAGTGAACAAATATTATACAGAAAAAAACACCTCAGTTAAACATGACCAAGGCTATTTTTGGCAAACAGAGAACCTTAATCAATTTCACACGCACCTAACAGGGAGCAAATGACGTGACAACAGCTCTGAAGACACAGATAATACAACAAACACACTAAATGCTCTTGCAAGAAAGGTAAAGAGAACACGAGGTTGAATAAACAGGAGCAGAAAGGGAGGAGGACGGTGTGCTCCTCCTTGTCAGCCCCACTATCAGCAGAGAACAGAACATGGTATCTCCTGTTGGCTTTACCTTTCCAAGTCAGCTGAACAGCAGCTAAAAGGTAAGTCTGAAAAGAAGCCATAGGCAGGGATTGAATCTAGTTTAGTTTTAGACAACTAAAAACCAGTTAAATATTCCACAGGTATCTTAACAGGAGTTTCAAGGACAGAAACTAATTTCTTCTCAATTCCCAGAATGGGGGGAAAATGATGGATTTAAAATTGCAACCAGAAGGACTAAGGTTAGACATTGGAAAATCCTTTCTAGGAACAGTGGGGTGGATTAGAATAAACTGTTTGTGGAGGCTGTGGAATTGTCATTATGGTCCCAAATAAAATAGATGGGTGGGACAAGCAGCTGCCAGAAGAGCCATAGGAATGACACTGCTCCCAGATGGAGGCCTGGAACACAGCAGTGCTCCTGAAAATCTGTTTTCAGCAACACAGGACACCTGAATTCCACGTTCAGGCTGGCTGACAGATGAAATGCAGATTCATGTTATCTTAACTTAATCGTGGCTTAAATCATACTGGAAGATTCTACAGAGAGAAGCAGAAGTTTCAGAGACCTAAGCAGCCTGTAAGGTTAAAGAAACCTGTTGGGCTGGGAAAAGAAAAATCTCAGTGAGAGAACAATGAGCTAAACTCAGCTGTGATTAAATTCAGTGCAGCAGCATCTCAGCACACAAATGAGCAGTGACAGCATTTCTAGTGCAGGAAAAGCCAAATATGGACAAGAAGTGTATACACACATGTATAGATACACACATATATATATTTTAATATGTACCCAGAGAAACACAGATCTCAACAGAGAGAAGCTCTGTCTCACAAAATAAAGCAACTCTGCTCATGAAGTTTCCTGGCTGACTGTAAAACATTAAAAATAATGTGTCCCAAAACACAGTAAAGAGCTGCATGGACGTACTTGTTGAGGTGCTTCATCTTTAGGTACTCCATGGCAAACATGGCTCCTCCTCCTGGCAGGTCAATCACTTTGATGGGCTGAGGCACTCTCACAATGTTGGTTTTCTGAATGGCTTCCAAACTTGCCATTTCCCCTTCAAACATTTTTCTAGCCTGTCAAGGAATAAGAATATCCTTGGGCTAACTATGGATGTCTACAATGAGTACTTTGAAAAAAACAGACTTTTGACAAAGTGGCAAGGAGTTAATTCCTCCTGGTAAAAGGAGAGAGCTGCAGCAAGGCTTCATTCCACATAGGAAGACTTAAGGACCTTAACTCTTAATACTTCTTCTTTTTCCTAAATTCATCCCAGGGTTGTAGGATATGTCACATTTCACCCTGATTTCCAGCTGCTTATGAAGATCCCAAACTACCTGGATGCAACAGCACCTCTGAGGATAATGTGGCCACTGCTAAATGAGGTAACACTGAGCCCTTAAATTGGTTCTTCTTTCCCCACAGGCCACGGGATGGAGATGACAGCACAAATACTCAGCATGTGCTCTGCATTTTTGTAGCAAAGGTGCTGTTTTTCACAGCAGTTTAGGATAATTTTGATATGATAAAGCAAATTTCTGATGCACTGTAGTGTTAGGAAAAGCAATTGAGTATTCATTTAGTAGTAGAGAAGTCAAGAGTTTGGCTTGAGAAGCTGCAAAGGTTTTACTTTTAGAAATGCCAAAAGTAATGGGGACATTTGAAATTTCTGTAGCTTTAAAGATAATAGCGAGTTTTAGCACTGGCCCCTGTTTGTGCCCTCCCATTATCAATCCTCCCAACTGGAACATGAAAAGGAATGCAGTGAATGCAAAGTCAGCTCTGAGCTTTTCCAAACTCCAAGTACCACAGTAAAAGCTTTGTGCTTGGCCTCCTTTTTACAGGAATTACAGCTCACTGCTGCTGTTGAGGGTTATCACATTGCATTACACTGAATTTCACACCAACCAAACCTGCTCCATTCATTCTGGATATAAAACAGACACAGCTTTAAAAAGAAAACTCAGAACTGCAATAATTATGTATTATTAACGATTGGCTGCTTTTAAAATAAAAAGCTATCTCTATGCAATCATAGAGCTATCTCAATGCAATCATAAGCTCTGCTGGCATTGACCTGAGGTTTGTGGTTGATTTTCACAAATACCCGTCCTCTGTCTGTCTCATAGGTTTGGCCTTGGCTGATGCATCCTCCCCCGGAGCTCCCCAGTGCCTTCAGCAGGTTGGTGTTCAGTTCTGCCTTCAGGATCTTCTCCATGGTCATTTCCAGGCTGCTGCAGCCGCTCCTCTGCTAAACCTGCTGCGAAACAGGATTAAAGGTCTGGGTCCTTCTGTCACTGTCACTCTGCGATGAGGTAGGAAGGGCCACCCACCACAGGAAAAAAAAATTAAAGAGCACAGCTATAAAAATAGCTCAGCCAGAGACAATGTTTCAAAATGCTTTGCTTTTATAGCTATACATGAAAAATAAAATTTTTTATAAATATTTGCTACAATAAACTGGAGAGGTTAATTCTAGGAGAGGTGGGTCCTGGGGCCTCTCAGCGGTGCTGGAGCTGCTGGTATTTGTAGTTTGGAGCCGCTCTAAAGCTCGGGATCGCCTGCGGAAGAGCGGTTTTAGGCCGATCCGCTAGAGGGAAGCTGAAGGCAGCCCCAGGAATGGCCACAAGCGCTGTACCGGGGGAATTTGGTGTGAAATCCAAAGGGATGTGATTAAATCCGCTAATCGGCCGGGTGGGGTGCGGGGAGGAGGGTGAGGCAGGCGGGGATCCCTGCGGAAATGCCTGCGGTGCGGGACA